TTACACCCTATGCACAAAGCCCAAAATATCTTTTTGTTACTAAATCAAATCAAATCTATTTAAATATAAAATAAATCAAATCTTCTTTGACACTATGAATTACAATTTAACAGATTATGTCCTGCCACCCCTTTAATTAAACATACCATTCCTCAATTTTTCATATTGACTAAAATGTTCGTCTTATTTTTTCACGAACAAAGTGTTAAAAAAAAATTTCTCACGCAAAAATCAAGTAGGTCAATAAAAAAATTTATTATGTATTTTTATCAAAACTTTTAAAAGACTAAATAAAACCATGTTGATTTCTAGATTTTTAAAAAGTTTGATAATTTCTTTTGAATATGTGTGTTTAGAAACGAAATTAACATTATCAGATATTTGATAAATCTAATATATTTTGTTATAGTTTTTCAGATTTTTCAAAATCCGTTAGTTCATATCTTATAGGCCAATAAAAAATAAAGTTAACATTATTGAATTTTATAAAAAAAATTATATTTTTTTGGATATTTAAAAAAATCCGTATAAATCATAATTTTGTAGGAGCAGTTCCGAGGAGAGAGCATTTTTACTTGGGACACACCTTTGTGAGAGACACACCTCCCTATCTCGAAACCAAAGGCTCATGATACCACTGTAGGGGCAATTCCAAGGAGAGAGCATTTTTACTTGGGACACACCTTTGTGAGAGACACACCACTTGTCCATCTAAAACCTTAAGGTGATAGATGAATGGGTTCTCTCACTTATAAGTGCTCAATCTTCTCTTTTATAATCAATGTGGGACTTCTTCCTCACACTTGATTCTCAACAAATTAGTGTTTCAAAAAGCTATGAATTTTAAACTAGATAATCGAAAATCTAGTATAAAAAATATAAATTTATATCGAATATTTGAAAAAGATTGTTTAAAATCATAGACTTTTTAAATGAAATTATAATTTTACACTTATGTTTAAAAATAGGTGCAAAATCTATGTTTTAAAGTTTTTTAAAAAATCCAATAAATATTATAAAAAAATTTGGAAAAACTAAAAGAAAGAAAAATCCAAAATCAAGAATTTTGTAAAAAATACGGTAAATAAATAAAAAAAATCTGAAAAATCACAAAAATTTCAAAATTTTGATTTTATTAAAAGTATTTTAGTGAAATTTAACATAGTGAAGAGTGTTAGGTAAAAAAAAGTGGGCGGACAAAATCTCTTGTTTCTCTTTATATAATAAATACATCACCCACTTGACGAGAATTTAATGCGTCATCTCTTATTTATATATACCATTTTTATTAGAGATATTTTTATTATAAAGTCAATGTAAAATATTGAATTTTTTTTAAATTTACGATTCTGTATTGGAAATATTCATAGAACACCGAAAATTTTGGTTAGATTATCATTTTTTTATCATGGCGTATGTGTTCAATTGGAAATTTCAAAATTTTGGTATTGGAAATTTTAAATTTTCGGAAACTGTAATCCTTGTATGTACCAAAAATGGTAGCAGCAAAAAAAATCAAAAATTTGAAATTTCTAGTAGTACTGAGAGTTGTTTTTTCCTTCTTTTTTTTTTAATCTTTTACTTGAATAATTTATACAGTAAAATAGCCAACATACTTAAATATAAATAGAATAAATATCATACATATATGTATAAAAATAAAACTACAATCACTTCCTACACAAATCTTCCTAATGATTGAAGTAACCCGCATAAGCTGATTCTCATGCTTTTGCATCATTAGTACAATTATGTCTTCAACGAGCAGTGATGGGAGGCAATGAACAATCAGGTTTCAACTTTAACCGAACCCAATGATTTTCGTTGACAAAACCAACAATAATAATTGTATGTCGACTCGTGTACATGTGTACATGGATGAAGCTATGATGTGTGGGAAAATGTAATGTTAAGTTTCATGGAAAGGAAAACAAATACGAAATTGTATTTAGAAGCAATACGGTAACCCATATTAGTAATCGATATCTATTTTCCCTATCCTGTACACCCAAGTGTTCTACTTGTAACGCATTCCTAACTGTAGAAACAATATCATATAACAACTTGGAAAACAAGTTAGTGTGTTGATGAACTTGAGTATCTAACTGCTTCTGAATCAAAGGCCGTGAATCTTCCTCCCATCCTAATAAAGATGAAATACAAAGGAAATCATAGTTTCCATCATTCTCAACATTAATATTGTCATAAAGCATGAAGCTGTGACAAAAACTCAATTCTCGAAGATTTAGTAGAAGGTTGCTTACCAATCGCCATAGTTGACGGTTGACTTCTAATTGGTTTTGTGTATGATCTCTTTGTAGTCTAACTCCCCTACAAAGTTGCAACATATTCTCGCTTGCTAGGATCACGATGCACATCACTCTCCTCACACTTTTTACTCTTCTTAACTCCCATCTTTTAGACGTCCTAATATGTCGCGATCGTCCAACCCTTTATCTAGTATATGATTATGCATCACGCATCTAACCATCACCTTCCAACCAATACCACTTGGAATAGATCTCAGTCTAAAGGGGAATTTAACCTTAATAGTATAGATGTCATCCGAGGTGTTCCCATATTCATTTTTTCTTTTATAATTTCCTCCTCTCTCAAAATCCATAATCAATTTATCATTCCTCCCTCGGGTTTCATTATCAGAATTGGAACGAGTTGTAACAACAACAATACCATGCTTTTTACCAATAGACTGTGCCCATTCTAATACTTCAGATCGGGATTCAAAAATCTTCCAATTACAACAACATATAATTAGTAAATTTCATCAATTTATTTAAGGTCGAAAAACAAATAAAAATGTGTAAATTCAATAAGAAACATATGGTATATGTGGTGAATAACTGTAACATCAGTACATGAATCCGTAGAAGAAGTTGAAGTTGTCGGCTCTGGACCAAAAAGATATAAAATTGCATCTGCAGGCATAGCGGAAATTTCAGGTATAGCTGAAATTTCTGGTATTTCGGCAATTTCAAATTTCGGGTGAATCGCACTCAGAAATTTTAAAATTTCCAGTTATTCGCAACCATAAATTTAAATAAAGCAAAGAATTTCCGATATACGCCAAAATTCGATATCGGAAATTTGTTAAGTATACCGGAAATTTCGTTTTTACTCCACTTTGACCAATAGAATTTTTTTTTTACAAATATAAAAATTTTAAAAATAAATAGTAAAATAAACATTTTAGTGTGATGTATAATTTAAAAGATGGTATGTTAAATTCTCCCGCATGATAGATCATTCGAAGGCCCGTTTCATACAATCGAAATAGTAAAAGTAGAAAACAAAGCTAAAAATAAGTATCCGGTTTAAAATGGAATAAGATTGATAAATTTAAGACATTTGTTTTCAAATTATTATTCATTTTAGAATATCAAATGAGAAAAACAAATGAGAAACATGTCAATACTCAATAGTATTTATTTATAATACACAATAAAAAATCTTGGTAAGTAAAATAAGACACTTGTTCAGAAAGTTATAGATATTTTAATTATTATACATTTATATAATATATGAAAAATATTATTCTTAATCGCATTTTTATATCCGCGTCATATTTCACGGTTTATCAATAAGTGAATAATTAAATTTATAATAATAGTAATTTAAAAAAAAATTTTAATCTTTTTATATATTTTTTCATTTGATGGAGTGTGAAAATAAAATTATGTGATTAATCTGTTGAGAATAAAATGTGAGGACATTGATTAGAAAATAGAAAAGTGAACATTTTATAAGTGAGAGAATCTATACACCTATTATCTTAAAATTTTAATTGAATAAGTGGTGTGTCGTTCGCACATGTGCATAGTCCTAGTATAGTGAATTCCCCCGACATTAACCAACTTCATAAACTTAATTAACCAATTTTTTATATTTTATTAATCAATTTTATTTTACTACTAAAAATTATTTTTATATCTGAGTGTTTATTGATCAACTTTATCACTTTATTAATTAATTTTTTATATTTCATTAATCAATTTTATTTTACGATTAAAAATAACTGTTTATATAGTATTCAGAAACACTGTTTACTAGTAATGTTTATTTACTATTTATAAAAAAACAATATTTACCCTATAAATATAGTGAATTGTAAATATTTGAATATAGACTTGAGTGTAAGAATAGCATATATAATTTACACATATTAATTACATGAACTTTATTTTATCAATTAATACCACAATATGTTAGAAATTTAGGGTGTTATAATCCTGGATAACTTCGATGAATCGTGTTCGTACACTTTCCGAACAAAGTATTTCGACCCTATTCTTGTCTGGGTTCACGAAATCTTTGTGGGGATAATTCTCGAAGAAATTCTGTTTCCGACAAAAGAAAACGAATTGCAAATATAGAGAGAAGGATGCGTTTTTCCTGTATGCGAGACCGATGCCGAACGACTCCTTACATAGGAGAACAGTAATTGAAACGAAGAGACACATTTGTTCGAAACGAATATGTCAGTTGGGAAACAGTTATGTCCGTTGGGAAACAGTTATGTCCGTTGGGGAACAGTTATGTCCGTTGGGGAAAGGATTCAAAAATTTTGCACGGGGCGCTGCCCCGCACCCCGCCCGCTGAGCGGGACCCCAGCCAGGGGCTTCCGCCCCTTGGACCCCGCGGGGCGCTGCCCCGCACCCCGCCAGGGGCTTCGCCCCTTGGAACCCGTTTTAATTATTCGTATTCAATTATGTATTGGCTCGACGAGCGTGCACTCCGCACTTCCCTAACTCGTCTCCGAACTTAACGCATAATTGCATCGGCCTTTAGAAATCACATTACTACTAAAATACATTGGTGATACAAAATCGCCAACACAATTCACATAGTTCCAATCAAATAATAGAATACTATAATAATATCCTTAAACATGAACTAGAGCAAATATTTTAAAATGAACTTTATTATGATAACCAACCAACCAAAGAAACAAAATACAGTATCTTTCTGAATGATTTCATCTTCTAATCAACCTTCATTCTGCTAAAATCGAACCTCACAAAGCCAAGATAATCATCATGAATCCATTCATACTTCTCCTTAAATGGATTATTCAGTGAAGGTGGAGGATAACTATCAATACAATCTTTCCAAACATTGGCATCAGATAAATCTCTCATCACTTCCCAAACACATGTGTTACACTTAAAACCAGCTCCAAGACTAATCATCAAAACTCTATCACCTTTTTTGAGTCTCTTTTTTGCTTCCATATACCCTAAAACATACCATAATCCACCAGCAGAAGTATTACCCCAACGATGAAATGCCATTTTAGCTGGTTCAAGATCATATTCATTCAATCTTAAACCCTTACCAACTTCATCAAGCACTGCTTTACCACCAGGATGAACACAAAAATGTTCTATCCCAGTTTTTAAATTTATTCCACCTCCTAACACATTAAATATCGGCTTTTTAACCATTTCACCACCGTGGCTAAAAAATACTGAAAATCTGAAAAACCTTACCAGTTCCCAAAGTGGTAGAATCTTTGGAGCCATGCTATGCAAATTTACTGTCAAAGCTTGTGCAGCAATTTTCACAAGCCTTTTGGTTAGCCGAAAACCTGCAAAACCTTCTTTATCTTCCACTTGTATGCAACAATTATAAGCTTCACCATCAGCACCAAACTGTGTTCTCTGCATGTGTTTCAGTTTCAAGATAGCTTTGTTTCTCAACTCCATTTTGTTTGTGAACAGCATTGAGCAACCACCTGAACGAAAAATACAGTTAGGTAACATCATTCTTTTGTCTTTTCCACAGTACCAATGAGAACCAAGCTCTTCTGTGCTAACAACAATTCCTAAGGAGTTTTCATGTGTTTTGAAAAGCTGTTGCACAAGATCAATAGCTACAACACTTGCACTACACCCCATTCCTGCAAGATTGAAGACTTTTACATCTTCTCTCATTTTGTATCTGTTTATTATTCTTGCTGTGAGTGAAGGTATTGGTGAAAACATTGAAACATTAACAACAAGAATGTCTATTTCTGAAGGAGAGAAACAAGTTTTTTTGAAAAGGTTGTCGAGCGTATCAAACATGATTTATCTATTTCTTCATATATGTCTTTGAGAGTTGCACATGCATCTCTTCCTTCTAGAACGTTCTTTGGACAGTAAGTGTTTTCACCTATTCCTGAACTAACAATGGTTTTTAAGTGAAATCTAAATTCATCTAGACCAAGGTTTTTGTTTCTTAGGACTATTTTTGCACATGCATTTGTGTTGAGTTTTGTTTCTTCTTTTGGTTTGAAACACTCATAGGCTAACATGTAACATGATTGGTTTCTACGTTTAAGAACCAACTTGGAAAGTCTTAAAATGGAATAGAGTAGAGAAAAAATGCATAAAACTTTTAAGAGATATTCCATGACTTGTAAACAGTATTGTGATTTGCTTCAAGTGCAAAGTGTTTCTCTATATATACACACACTCATATTTTTTGTTTCTGCATAACATTTAATATTTGTGATTTGTATTCTTATTAAAATATTACCATGCATTAGCATTTAAATTTTAGGACGGTTGAATATATAAATCAAGCTGGTAAAAAATGAAAGACCAACTATCATAATCAATATTGGTTAAAGCATCATGAAAATGATTTCTGGAAAAGCTTCCTTTTTCTAGTGGTGGCCGGTTGGTTGTTTTTTTTCTTTTTCTTTTGTTGTTATATTGTTTCTCTGCAAGGGAAAGTTTAGCATTTCTCTCTCATATATATAAAACAGATTCTCATGGTTATTTTGCGGTCTCAGAGCTGTTATTCTATTGTGATAAGTCCGAAAACTATCATGTATATCCACTATAGCGGCCATGAAGCCACTATTTGTATACATGAAAACTATCATGTATACAAATTCAAATTTGAATCATTAAATATTCCTGACAAGTAATTTGCCCATGTATCGGTTTCAATGAACTTGCATACTACAATAATAAGCTATCAGTTTGAAAATAAAATAACACTAAGTGATCACCATGCAGCTAAATGGCATGAACATGCGTTTGCGACAAACATCATAATCAAAATTCAACAACACTAAAGGAATCTAACTAATACAATTTATAAGATTCGAATTTAAATTATTTAATATTTCTTACATGTATCGGTTTCAAGAGACAAGCATAGAATAACAATAAATTATCGGTTTGTATAGAAAATGACGCTAAATGATCACCAGCGAAAAGAAATGGAGAATAACAAACGACGCGAACAGAGGGTCATGATAAACATCATAATCAAAATTTAACAGCACCAAAGTCATGTAATTAATACAACTTATAAGATTCAAATTAAATCATTTAATATTTCTGACATGCATTAGTTTCAACAAACATGCATAGAACACCAATAGAAAAAGCCGCTAAATAATCACCAAACCAGGAGAACAACAAAACGATACGATTAGAGGGTCACAAGTCACGGCAAACATCATAATCAAAATTTAACAACACCAAAATCAAATAATTAATACAACTTATAAGATTTAAATTTAAATCATTTAATATTTCTGACATGCATAGGTTTCTGGTTTTAATAGACATGCATAGAACACCAATGAGTTGTCGGTTTTCATAGAAAACAACGCTAAATGATCACCAGCCAGAGAATAATTTGTAAGATTCAAATTTAAATCATTTAATATTTCTACATGCATTGGTTTCTGGTTTTAATAGAAATGCATGAAACATCAATAAGTTGTCAGTTTGCATAGAAAACAACGTTAAATGATCACTAGTCAGGAGAACAACAAAATGACATGATTAGAGAGTCATGAATAACATCATAATCAAAATTTAACAACACCAAAACAAGTAATTAATATAAGTTATAAAACTCAAATTTAAATTATTCAATATTTCAGACAAGTATTTTACACAAGAAACCGCTGTGCATGTAACAGAACAATAAGTTATAAGTTTGCAAGGAAAATGACACATAGTGATCATCAGCCAAAATATAACCCTTGAAGCGTAAGAACATTTTAAGGGGGCGTGGCGCCAAATTAAAACAATCACCAGAACAAAGGTTCTATCAATTTCTTAAAAGAAACTTACCTTTCAATTATTATTATTATTATTATTACGATTTAGGTGTACAAAGACCTAATTAACATTACCAATGCATAAAATATGTCTTTATATCTATATTAACGAACTTATCCATTTATAATGATAAATGAAGAGGAACTTCAATCACTTTTCCACCAGTACGAGTGACATAAGCCTCCATCAATTTCTTAACAGAACCATAAGCGAATGACCAAGGTGAAGAGAGTTTAGGGTTTTTGGGAGTGGGGTGAGAGCCGTTTATGTCCGGAAATGAACGGTGGTGATTGTTGGAGGCCACCGGAAATGAACGATCAAAACAATATATCTATTTGATCTAATTGTTGTAGAAATTTCTCTCAAAGGTAAAGGTTTTACAAGTTATGGTTACAACTTCTATCCAAAAAGTTGGTAAGAATGGAATAATTGAGTATGTAGAATGAGATAGATAATTAGAATGAATGTAATTAAGGGTGACAATTCACATTAACATTCACCAGAAACCTTTAGTTATATGCATTAACACTAGTTATTGATTGAAATATCTTTAAGTATATGTATAAATTACAATTGATTGAGATACAAGAAACATCAAATTAAAATAATACAAAATTGAAATTGTTTGTCGGTAATCGAATACGCCAAATCTATAATCAGTTACACTTGTTTTTAAACTTAAAACAGAATTAGTAATCGGTTACTACGAATGTGTAATCGACCACACCAGCAAACATAACCTTCCTATTTTAGCTTCTTGTCATTTTCAACACAGTTGTAACCGGTTACTGGTGGTGAACAAAGGAGAGATGAAAGATAAAAAAGAATATATTGAATGACGGCTATAAAATAAAGAATAATGAATTACATTGACCTATCTACTACTAGACTATTTATACACAAAATTAGGGTATAATAAAATACTAAAATACCCTCTAACAAACTTAATCAATAAGATATTCCTAAAATATAAATTAGTTCCAACACTATCCCTTAATTTATATTTACACAAAACTGACAACACCAATTTCATCTCTCAAACAAAGAAATTGATCAGTCTTGATAGTCTTTGTTAGAATATATGTCAGCTGCTTCTGGGTGCTACAGTGCACAACTTCTAATATTCCACTCTGAACCTGATTCCTCAAAAAGTGATACTTGGTCTCAATATGCTTGCTTCTCCCATACAGCACTAGGTTCTTGGCAAGATTGATTGCAGACTTGTTATCAATCATCAGCTTCAGAGGTTTGTCTACCTCAATCTTCAGATCTTGCAGCAAGTTCAGAATCTACACAGCTTGGCATGCAGTCAGAGCTTCTGCAATATATTCACCTTCACAGGTTGACAGCGTAACAACATGTTGCTTCTTGGAACACCAAGAAATAGGACCTCCCGAAAATTTGAATAAGTACCTAGAAGTACTTTTTATGTCAACTCTGTCTCCACAGTAATCAGAGTCTGAATAACTCAAAAGTTCTGATTCGATCTTTCTTCCAGAAGGAAATAACACTCTATCCTTCAGAGTTCCCTTCACATACCTCAGAATCTTGACAGCAACTTGGTAATGAGACCACTTTGGTTTACTCATAAATCTGCTAACCATTCCAACTGCATAACAAATATCAGGTCTGGTATTACACAAATACCTCAAAGAACCAACCATTTGTTTGAAGTTTGTATCCACATCCTCTTCATCAGAATCAGAATCCAACTTCTGATTCGTATCAGCAGGTGTGATAACAACTTTGCAATTCTCTAGCTTAAATATCTTCAGAAGATCAAGTTCATACTTCTTCTGATGTAAAATGATTCTTTTTCAGAGTACATAAACTCCATCCCTAGAAAGAAACTCATTTTCCTAAGATCTTTCATCTCAAACGCATTCATCAGAACCTTCTTGAACTCAACTATCTCTTGTTCAGAACTTCCTATGAGCAATATCCCATTAACATACAAACATATCAAAATCATATTACCTTCTGAAGTGTGCTGAACATAAACACCATACTCCATCTCACACTTCTGAATAGGAACTATTTCCTTCATCTTCTTTGTTGGACATCTGTTGAGCACATAACATGCAGTGGCAACAGCTTCCCCCTACAAAGTATGAGGAAGCTTCTTCTCTATCAGCATGCTTCTCACCATATCAAGCAAAGTACGATTTCTTTTTTCAGCAAGACCATTGTGTTGAGGAGTATAGGGAGCAGTAACCTCATGCTCAATTTTATTCTCCTCACAGAACCTTCTGAATTCTATGGAGTTATACTCACCACCACCATCAGTTCTAAGAATCTTCAGAGTCTGGCCATTCTGATTCTCAACCTTCAGTCTGAACTTCTTAAATTCAACAAACACCTCGTGTTTGAACTTTATGAGAGATACCCATGTCATTTTGGTGAACTCATCAACAAATGACACAAAGTATTTATTCCCTCAAATTGATGCTACTGGAAATGGACCGCACACATCATAATGCATTACTCCTAAGGCATACTTTGCTCTTGGAGCTACTTCTGATGCAAATGGTAATATTGGTTGCTTCGCTTTCATGCACACCTTACATGACTTCTTAGGATTCTTGGTTGTAGGAATTCCATGTACCAGCTTCTTTGATTTCATATGCCCTAAGCTTCTGAAATTCAGATGACCAAATCTTTTGTGCCACAACTCACTCTCCTTGACAACACTTGTTACACTAATACATTCAGAGTCTGCAGTTCTAACGTTCATCTTGAATGTTATGTTCCTTCCCTATTCTGAATCCATAATCAGCTTCTGATTACAGTCTTACAGCTTCAGAAAATTGTCCTTCATGGTAATCGAAAAACCTTTCTCAATCAATTGTCCCACACTCATCGGATTGCTTTTCATGTCAGGTACATATCATACATTCTGGATCACTGATGCTTTCCCACTGTTTAGAATGATTCTGACATTTCCCATACCTTTTTCATTGAGGTATTTATCATCAGCACATCTGATCTTTGTACTATTCCCAGAGTCAAAATCAACCAACCATTTCTTGTTTCCAGTAAGATGATTTGAACACCCTGTGTCCATATACCACCATTCTGATGAATTTATATTATCAAGTTCAGAAGCCAACAATAGCACAGGTTCATCATCAGACACTCCTCTGGCTATATTTGCTTCTTCTGACTTCCTTTCTTTGTTTGACCAGCAATCTTTGGCATAGTGACCAAAGTTCTTGCAACGGTAACACTAAACATTCTTCTTGTCAGAATTTTCTTTTCCCTTCTAGACATTCTTCTGTCTATCAGAGTTTGAAGCTTTTGACCTTTGACCACTATTAGTTTTCTT